AAAGTAGTATTAATTTAAGCCAAACCTGAAGGATTTTAATTCAGAATAAACAAACTTCATCAATAGGCACAGTGACAGCTCAGAAAGACTGGCTGCTTCATCTTCAGCATGGCGTACTTCAAAATAAATTATTGCAAACTGCTTTCCATCTGACCAATGAAATACTGTTGTAATTTCGTAAAAGAGATGCCTAATAAAGAAATACATTAGAAAAATGTTAGAACACACCCAAAGCGTATGTGTTTGGTAGCTATGTCCCATACATTGTTTTAAAAAAAAAAGTAGTAAATATGCACGCAAATTAAACTCACACCAGTTGTTATAAGCATGTTGACCCACAGGTGACTTCATTTTGCCTTCTAGCAGAAAAACAATCATGCTTGGGTTGCTAGCTTTTGCAGTAACAGCAGAGAGGGAAATTTTCTAATCTTTATTTCTCCTTGAATGCTTTCACAGCACAGTGCCTCATTTCACTAGCTGAATGCCTATGAATTAACAGTACTTTTAATTACTTAGATACAATCTATATTTGAGCATGCTTTTCATTTCACATTCATTTTTCTTCCATTCATTATCAAAGTCTTTCTTCCCACTAGACTGTTTATATTTTAATTTGTGTGGGCTTTAACAACATACTGATTCCAATACTGTCCTAATTAAATTAAATTTACTTGCACAGATTTGAACAGCAACCCATGTTGACCTCAGAAGTACTCCTTTTTCTTCTTTCCAATATATTTTACTGCCTATCAAAGAATTATTTTCCCAAGGCCCTACTACTTCTTCAGAGTCAGCCAATGCCTTTGTGTAACTAGTCCTCCAATACATAACCAGATTAGTATTTCAGCTTTAATAAAATTACAGGCCAAATCCTAAATGGCCTGCACTTTTTAGTCCATAGATGTTATTTAGGTCACTTCAAATAAATAATTGCAGAGCAGCTTCTGACCACACTATTAAGAAAGGACTTTGATAAGATAGGATTTGTTCTCCCCACAGCCATCATTCCCAATTTTCTTCTTAATTAAAGCACTACTCAAAAATGTCTTTCTAGAACAGTCAAAGAATTGAAGCTGAAAGTATGGCTCACCTATGACTTTTCCTTTCATAGCACATAAATTCAAGCCTGAGCAATTTCAAGGAAGTGCCAGTGCTCTCTCTCCTAGAGTTAAAGATACTCTTACCTTTTTCACTTCAATGTTACACTTTCAAAAGCCAGATTATTCTAACATTTTTAATTATTTAATTTTTAAGGTATAATACATATACTTCTATATCACCATATTGTCACTTCTGTTATGCACAGGTGTATCAAATACTTTTATTTTTCCCTTTTACATTTCTTGCATATCCTCCTTTCCTACTGCAGCTGTTTGTCCAGTCTAGAATCTTTTCTAGATAGGATTCTCATATGTAATGCCCAATAAAAGAAAGCTCTGAATGCAGCTTTCTTTCAAAAGAAAAATTATGATCTGTCATAGTACACATTAGTAACATCTCTTCTGATTTTATTCAGAAATAATACGATGGTTTGAATTGATTAACCAAGACATAATACATAATATTAGGGTGGGGTTTTTTCATATTTGTGAAGAGTGGATATAAAATCATGTTGAAGGCAAATGTGTAACAGACTGCTTAACTAAACCTTCCCTGCCTTTAATAATTTCCATTTGAGAGTCCACCAATTGGTGGTTTAGGACAAAGAAAACCCACAGGAGGTGCCTCCTTTATTTTTTGTTTTCTCTTGCACTTAGAACCCTAATTATGGATCACCATTTAGTTGTGTATATCCTGTGTAATGGTTTGTATCACTGTGATAGAAGCAGAGACATTGCTCTGATGTGTAACCCTGAACAACTATTCCCCACCCCCCCAAAAGCCAGTGGGATGATGGCCAGACCCTGAGGGAGCACATATGGAAAATACAGCATCACAACATGCACTTTCAGTGTGTTCCAAGAGCTTGAGCTAAGACCGTCAAATTTCTCTTGGTTTCCCGAAGCAACAGAGCTGTTCTGCTGCTAAACTCATGACCAACGTGCAGCTGAATCCCTGATGCATCACTGCGCCTAAGCTTACCTGAGAGATTTCTACAGTACATTGGAGATCTTTCTGTTTAAAGCGTTATGCAACCCAGCTAGCTAAGACAGAGCACAACATCCCGCTAATTCTGCCTGGAAGAAATAGGTCATGTAACTTGGACGCTGCCAATTGCCAAACACAAATCAATTAAGAAATCCATGTACAGAAAAAAAAAATAAAAATATCAATGCTCATTGGCATGGCCCAGTGAGTGGATGATATGCAGAGTACAAAGCAGTACTGACGTATATTGATATAAACAGGAATGCAGCTCTGTGCTCCAGATAGGAAGAAAATAGAGTATATGCAGAGCATTGTGGATGCGCTGCCGTCACGGGGCTGGGAGCTCACACCATGCCACATGGGGCAAATGGAGGGCCAGAGGGAGAGAACAAATATTGCTGCTGCTGCTACCACCCCTCCACATGTGGAATTTTAGACCAGACTGTTTGAATTGATGTTTCTCCTCAACTTTATTCATAGCAAGCTTTGAAAAAAATTTTTCAGGTATATGTTTATATGAATCTACAAATAGATTTACTCTGTACTCTGCGCACCCTGTCCATATACACACACACAATGCATGAATGTACTGACATCTTACTGACCGGGGCTGTATCCTAGCTGCCCATAAACTGTATTAAGTGTGCTTATACTGTAACTCAGGAAATCAGGGGTAAAATGACATGCTCCTTAAGTTATTCAGATTCTAGTAATTCCTTACATGTTAGTTCCTGTTTAGTAGCATAAGCAAAACACAGATACTCCTATATGCCCCCTCCTTTTTTTAATTACTTTTAAAATAAGGTCTTTCCTTTGTGGGTTTTTTTTTTTTTTTTAGACTTTTTTAGACTTGTTAGTCTAAAAATCCATTACCATGATGAACGCCAATTCGCCATTTTCACTGATCACTTAAGCAGCAGTCCAATTTTAGTGCAATAAGCTATTCATGTTTCAAGATTTAGCACAGAATAGGAATAAAACTGTGATGATTTAGAAGTGCATTGCAGTTGTTAATAAAGGCAGCATCAGATCACCTACCATTCAATTATTATCATGATTTAAAAGAATTAAGAGAAATTCTTAATTATGCTTTTTGGTTACAGAGATTAAAATTCTTAAAAATTCTTATCCATTAAAAATAGATATTAAACTTAGTCTTGTAAAACTTTTACTTGTGATCCTGGCTCAGTAATAAGCTGCAAGAACTGAAGAATGGGTTGTGCATAGCAGCAAGGCAGAAATGTCAGAAGCAAGAGAATACCCCCAAGAGCAGAGCCGCAGGCAGCAGACTCACTCAGCAGAAAGCACATGGAATGGGCAGGAAGATAAAAATTTAGAAGCAGGAAAGAAAAAAAGCAGGCATTTTATAGACAGAGTGAGAAAGGAGGGGCAAGGGCATGAAGGCAGGAGGCTAAATAAATGATACCAGGAGCTGGGAAGGCCCCATCCTGCTTTAAAAGATAGAATAAGGTCACAAGACAGCACAGTAAGAGAACAGCTGCGCTGTTGACCAGCAGCAGGGCCAGCATTTCAGAGGGACAGTTTCTTTGTTTAAAAAAGAAAACTATAATAATAAAGACATCAGCGAGGGTCCTCCTAATGGGCACACTTGACTGAAGGGCGTTATTTTTCCAGAAGCAGCTTCTTGGGTCTGCTATTTCTGACTAGCGTCAGGGCATAGCACTGCATTGTTGTTTAGATAACATAACAATATTGTGGGGTATTTAGGTTCCTTTTACATGGAAAACAATGTTTCAGAGGAAAAACTTGAGTTCAATTTTAAATGCTTCCAAGACACAAAAGTTTGTCGGGTTATGCAGCATCCACCAGTTTACAGGTATGGCAGCATCAAGACCAAAAAACACTTCTCTGATTTGACATACACGTTATTTAATTTATAAGAGTAGATCTCAAACTATATTAAGCGTATTTTGTAGTTCGAGGTACTTGCAAGAAGCATATGCATAATAAAAGGTAATTCATGTCGTTTTTTTCTTAGATCAAGTGCATTTTTCCCCACTTGTTTTGTATTTTACTGCTAAGTGCCAGTTTCCCTGACGAAGACAATTTATTCTATCAAAATCCCACAGGATAACCTAGTACGTGCGAAAGCAGAACTCCTGGTAACGAAGTAGAATACTGGGACTGTCATATGTAAGTTACCTACATAACTTTACTGTTTTACTTTTTTGTATTTTCAATATCCTTTCACCTGTTCACCTACATTTTTTTCTTTAGAATTAATACATTGCATTCTATTAGCTGGTAGGAATTAAATAACATAGGAGAAAAAGAATTGGCTGATATCAAATACTTTGTTAAGAGGCTAACTGCATTAATAAACTGTTATATGAAAAAACAGCGCTCTTCCAAATTTGGATGCTTGCAGGTTGCTAAAAAACCCAAACCACTTTAAACTGACACACGTCTGTACTTTAGATAAAGTTAATTTTATCATTCCAGTCTTGTCTTAAAGCTCATTTTAAACAATCTTCCAGTCTAATTAGCATTACTTTCTGGCTCCTTAGTGCCATCCTTTTGAATGCTGGCATGGTTAAAGCACCCAGGTCTACTTGGTTTACTATTGTGTGGCAAATGTCAGTGAAATATGAGGGCATATGGCATATAATTACAGAACCATATGGATGCCAGTAGCAATAGTCAACAGTATTTGAATGTAAGACCAAGAAAGTTAGAGGAAGAACAATAAAAGACCATCAATACATAACCATAAAATGGATAGTTTCTTTACAGCTGAAAGAAGCCTGTACACGTCTGTCCTTTAATGAGGCAAAGCCACTGTGTCTGTAACAAGCATAGAGCCGTAGAAGCACAGTCTGCATTATTTTAGTTTTGGTTTGGAAATTTATAAACTCATATTATTAAGATGAGTGATGCAAGAAATCACTTACCAATGCACATAGCAGATCAACTGCTTCCAGTATCAGTTCTTGGTGGCCAATGCGAGTGACTCCCAGCTCCTCAAGCTCTTGATGCGTGATGTGTAGCAGCTGTTCGCCATTGATCTTTTCTCTTTCAAAATTTTTTATGTATTGTTGGAGGCAATCATCAAGGCCTATTTAAAAAAAAAAAAAGCCAACAACGCATATTCAGAGAACAAAGATAAACAATCATAATTCTGTAATTCACAAATGTAGAAACTTCTTGGGAATACGAGTATAATGCCTTGCTTGGATCTATGATAGAAAACGTACAAAAAAATTGTAATTTAGCTTGCATAGTATAGTGCATACGACTAAAGAGAAAAGTTTATATAACTGACATTATTTTCAACATTTTACAATATTTTAATACTAACTTTAAACCTTCATGGTACTTATTAGGAAAATGGGGGAAGGACAAAAAAAGCACAGAGAGTAACATAAAATAAAACCTTTTTCTTATGATGCCATGAAGACCTAGATATAAGTTTAACTTATGCTTAGGAGCATATTCTTCCTGCTATTCCTCTGTAGGACTCTTCAAAGTCACACAGTGTGGCTATCACTGATCAGCATGAGTGTTTTTCAGCATCAGTAACCACCTACACCAACCCTGTGACACCCAGTACCACTTACTTTTTTTCCCGCCCCTCAAGTCAAACTATCCAACTTTCTAAACCTCAATAACATGCAAATGGTTCTGTTACAAAGCCTTTGATTAATGATACAGCTTTGGCCATGTACAAAGAATTATTCCATTTCACCCTGAAATTTGATACAGTAATAGCAACAGATCTGGTGGCTGCCACATTATTCTATTTCTCAGGCCAGAGCAGGGACTGATTAACAACACAAGTTGAAATATTTTTCGTTCCTCTAAATCTGTTTTGGAACCACACAGGCTTTAAGTTTCCAGCTAGAACAAGTAGTTGAACACAAGACTCTACTACTGAAAGCTACGTGAGGTTATGAAGCATTCCCTCAAGGACTCTGCCTAGAAGTGTACTAGATTCAATGAAAACCTGACATGCATATGATTTTCTGGAGACCTACAAAGATTCAGCTTCCATAATTTCATCTACTAAGTAGAGTAAGTAGAACACTTTGATTCTCGATTATTTGTCCTACAGTGAAGCAAGATCCGTAAGAAGTACAGATATCCAGACACCACAGAAATCACCAGCTTGAGCGTTTAAGGAATATAGAGATTTGAAATATCATAATTTCTGCATGCAGCCTTTTATTAAATACATATTCATTTACTAGTGCGGTTCAATTAAGGAAAAAATCTGTATAGAAGCACTAAGAAAACAATGTATATAAAGAAAAGGAAAGCAATAGGCATATGAACAATACTGTTCTTTTGTCTGTTTAAAAAGTTCTCACATACACAATATAAACAGAAATAAAGCAAAAATCAATGTTGTCTTCATTTCCTGAATTATTAATGCAAGGAAAGAGATAATTCTATCACGTACCTTAGTATCTTTTTAAAGAAAAATTGATAGTTATTTTAACATTTTTTTGAAACACAAAGGTCCTTTTAGGTAACTAGAGGATACAGTTTGGCAATGATGAAGTATATTCCTCCAAATTAGTACAGGAACGCTAACCGAGTTAAACAAGAGGATGAAGGAAGTTCACCAAAAACATATTAGAAAGCTACATTACCATCTATTACTCCTTTTACAAGCATACATTCTTAGATAATATTAAATGATTTAATTTGGTCTAATAAAATTGGTTTATTTCATGGTAATAGAAAATATGAGCTACACACACAGCTAACATGCGATACCCCAGCCTGAGTAAATGCTGGCATTAGTTACCATCCAGAGAAGAATTTCTCAAAGTTACAGGAGGACTTGGTCGGAATAACCAAACCACCTGCCAGGGAACTGAAAGCTCATGGTAACTGAAGTCAGAAAATGTGAAATTTAAAACCAACCTGTAGACAAAAATAGTTGATATTGTCCATAGTTTTCTATTCTTAGGTTTTTAAACAGAGTATCTGAGAAAGAGAGATCTGACACCTTACACTTGGCATGCTGAATATTAACACGTTAAGTCTCAATTAAGCCAACATATAGTCATTGTGTCTTAACTGAATTGACAACACAGGAACTGAATAAAACAAAACAATGTATTGGTCTTCTGTTCCACAAATACAAAGGGATTTATTGCAGTTTCCTTCAATTAACTTATCTTTCAAAATTATTCAATTATTTACTCTGGAAACTGATAGTCTCAAGTTATGTTATAGTGGTCATTTATCATTTACCAAGTAACATGCAGAGCTTTACAGTCACTTACACACACATCCCATATAAAACTAGATTAGCGATATAAAGTGTCATATTTTATGTTGTTATTTGTAAGTATGAGGTAGCTTGGGAGTTTCTTAGCTTTTCTTTTTAAATTTAAATTAGTTTGCAACCAATACCTTTTCTCTGTTCTGGAATGGTCTGCAAACAGGAGACTACTCTGCATCTGTTCATGGTTTTAAATGATTTGATGAATGATTTTATTTAAGTATATTCCAGTTTGGATTGGTTGAAAACTGGTCACTGCATTTATTATTTAACATTGGAACTCAGAGCCATGACCCGTTTCTGTTCCCTTCTTGCTCAAGAACAATTCTTAGAAACCGTTTCAGAGCAAACTCCAAAACCCAGGGGTTCCAGATTTGCTCTCTGTGAACATTTGCGTAAAACTCGCCAGAAATAGTCACCAAAACTGATATCAGAAATTAAATTATTTTGAACACAACTGAAGCAAATTAATTTAAAATTTTACTGTCAGTGGCCACAAGTAAGCATTTGTAGTATTCAGGAAGATTTTGAAAATACCAAATGAACGTGACATCCCATGAAAACCATGTAGCCAGATGTATTAAATGTGCCTTTGTGCCAGAGAGACCGTGTGACAGAAGAGCAAAAGATGAAATTTGTATTATTCATACTGCTCTGTAACAGCTCCCCAGGGCATCTTTAGAAGGCGTTTACTTAATGGTGCAAACAGTATGGCAGTTGACAACAGCATACAGAAATATATCATTAAAGGACCAGGCTGTCTCATAGCATGACAGCATCTAATAAGCACACACCAGAAAAAGAAATATTTGCCACTTGCCCTCTGCTTTTCTGTCTATCTAGGAGCTGGGTATCCTATGCCATTTCCTTCTCTTGCCAGGTAAAAATATTGGGTTTAAGTGTGAGGTGTTACAAAGCAAGAATTTAGCTATCAGTAGTTTCAGTCTTTGTCATCTTAGTTATAATTGGTTTTAGCGTGCAAATGTCAAAGATGCAATTAGAAAGAGTACAGAATGAGATCATTTTGACTTACCAAAGCCAAATGGAATATTTATTTCCTCAAGCCACTTAGGCCTCATTAGTGCTCTTTATGCAATTTTCTCAATATAATTTCAGTTTACAGACAAGACGTAAATTAGTTAAGATTCATAACTACAAAGTAGTAAGGGACATTAACTCTGTTTTATATGTAAGTAAATAAAATTAAACCACTATTCCCAAGCTACACAGCATCAGAGTGAGGCAAGAAACACAGAGGCTTGTGGTCCTGTTTCTGCACATTCTTACTGGTTTTGGGTACAGTTTGTAACAAACTGATGTAACTTTCATAGTGCAAGAAATTAATTCAAAGAAAAGGGTTTAATCATGTTTGCTTTGTTTTAAAGCTGAGACTTAACCATCCATGATGAGAAATCTGTTATATTGTCTCTTTTTGTCTTTAAGTAACAAAAAAAACCCCCCTTATTCCCTTCACATAGACTAGGAAAACTTTCTCTCAGTATTCAAAGAGTAGAGGAAAACAAGCATCTCTGAAGTGTTTACTGCAAACTATGATTTTGCAAATAAGGCATGTAGTAAATTGCCTGAATCAAGGAAACATGAAAAAGAAAGGAGGCAGAAAAAAGATAGGGAGAAAGGGTAGGGGGAAAAAAGGCAGTTAGCTTTAAAATGTTCATTTTCTGAACTGCAGAATTAAGAAAAAAGGATCATTAAAACAACAAAGCAAACCAACATGTTATTAAAAAAAAATCTCTGTAGACCTAGCTAAAATCAGATTTAAGTATTAACTCAAAGCCAAAATTACAAAAGGGATGCTACAGATTGTGAGCAATAAGACCCACTGAGATGAAAATGAATCTTTTCATTGATGTCAACAAACATCAGGTTTGTTTTACATTAAAAGCACAAACATAGCTGCCATGTTACATAAAGATCTGTCCCTTTCTCTCTGGCATTAGACAGGGATATTGAAAAAAATTGCTATAAAACTAAATGAGGGAAAAGCACAGGTTGTTGCCCTCTACGCAGGAAGTCAAATCATGCAGACAGGGCAGCTCTCACCAGGAAGAAATATGGTGACAGTAACTTTACCAAGTGTGATCCATCGCAACGGAAAAGTAAATTCTAAGTTAAAAATCTGGCATTTCCATTTTTTCATAAATCTTTCCATAAATTACATTTATTCTCTTCTCCTTTTTCATGTATTTTAATGGATTTTTGTTACTTATTGTAACGTGTGCTGGATTTGTAATCCATCCTAAACATTCCTGACCAAATGATGGTTTTGTTCATACGACATCATTATTCCCAGAGGAAAATACATGGCAGCTGGCTAGAACAACAGAAGACTGGCTGTGAAATGGAGGGGTTATGGGGAGGGCAGACAGGAAAGGTCCTCGCCAGTTCAGCTTGTCACGGGCACGACTGCTCTCACAAGGTGACGCTTCTGACAGGAGAGGGTACACAAAATGATACGCTCTCTTATAAAAACGCAACGTTGCTTTCTGCTGGTAGGGTCTAGGATGAAAGAGAAGGAAAACAGCTCAGTGGAAATGCATTTACCACTCCTGACTTCTGCAGTTTAGCACTGATGCAAGGAAGTGTCAGAGTTCACTTACGGCCAATTTGGCAAAGAAGTCAAAGCCACTTTAAGGGGCTGAGAAAGTATTTAATGTTTTTTCCCAATTAAAAGAATATATATTATACAGTAATACAATATAATAAAATAAAAAGCACATAGCAGAATACTAAAGTCACAATTGCACAAAGGCTTATACACAACAGCGAGTTTGAGGTATAGATCCAAGTGTCCATGGAATCTG